TGCCCAACTATAATGTTTTTATTTATTGCCATGAAAAAATTGCTACAGAGACGCGTAGGTCACCTGCTTTTAGCAGAAAAAAAAAAAAAAAATATGAGCACACTTCACACTCCTTGCAGTGTCTTGAAGTGATTTATCTCCATTAATAAATATATATCTTTATATTCTAGAAGTCTATAAGGAAATAAGTGGCTAATCATTCTTCGCCATAACAACAACAAAGAAACCACTTGAGCTTACGGATTTGGCGCTTCAAATTTAGCAGAGGCTTTCCACGTTAAAAGAGTAGGCTAATGTCTTCAAAAATGACGTCCTAGAAAATTGCTATTCCGCTTAAACGAAAGTATATGCATCATCATTAGGTAGAATACTTTTAAAAAGAAACAGAAATGTAAAACAGTTATAACGTCTTTACTATAAATCTCAATCGATATATATAAATAATGAAGGCTATTGTTCATTGCGGGCCGCTTCGACTGATTTTGACAATTTATGTGTTGTTTATTTTTCTTTTATTGCCTATTTAATTTATAATCTATTCAAAATATAATAAGTAAATACCACCGCAAGATGAGAAAAATGGCGGAGGTTAGTGGCGCTAAATGGGAACCGTATAAGAAGAGAAACTTTATAAACTTCAAATATTCATTAAGAGGATTTCATTAACAAAAATAAATTAATTTCTAAATGGAAGGTTGAATATACGAAGCCTTCCCAATATATTTATCTCATTACACTCATGTATTATAGAAGAGATATTGCCAATGGATTTACGCGATTACTCTGGAGAAATGCGTTGAGTTAGATTTTTAAGGAACGGAAATGAACCATGAATACCTTGGCTGCTTACGAACAAGGGGGCGTTACCAATGAGGCGAAGGTTTTTGAAGCATTTCAATGTTAGACTTACTAGATGTTCTTAACTATTTTATATTATAGATACGAATAGATTGGAAGATACTCTCCCAAAAAATTTTACATGATCAATAAAAAATGTCATGTCAATAAAAAAAAAGAAAAAGGTTCGAGATATTTTATGTAAAGTATGCTTCATTGCTATCTGCTACTAATTTTTTGGTATAGTCATAAAAATGAAACCCTTGGCTTGAATAAGCAATGTCTGATGTGGCAACTTCTGGGTTAGTGCACGAGTTTTGCAGTTTACCGCCGAAAGACATCATGCTGAATAATTACAATTCTACGACTTTTAGCATATTGCCCCCGCCTTTCGAATCAATTGCTAGCGTCCCTTTTCCTCCCACTACCACCAAATGAAGACACCATAGTCAATCAGGATATTCAGTGTTAATATCGGCATCATAGTTACGTGCGCGCTGAATATTACGGCACCTCTGTCTATAAGCATCTGTATTCAGCAGCAGTAACTTTCGAAGCAGGAGAAATAATGTTTTAACCCTCATATTTAGCTTAGATTTCAGTGGCATAACTCACAAGTTTTCGTCAAGTTTAGAGACGTTGCTTTCAAACGGAGAAATCACAATTTTATTTAGCACTCACTACACTTTTCTTGAAACAAGAGCAAGAATTTCTTCAACGTCTGAATGTATAGCTTTACAAAAATGTTTTTAGTTATTGCAAAATGACTGACTCTGTCGTTATAAAACTAATCCAGTTAGTTTTGTCATACTTGTTGACCTATTGAACTTTGTACGTTGCTTATTGGAACTTATATTGTATTAAACGCACTTTGCATTGAAATCATAACTTTTAGTGGAAATTTTCGGAAAACCGTTACATTATATAATTCAAAATCAGTTTTACGATTTATAAAACATAACTTTAACTTAACATTCGGTGATGCGCATTTGTGTGAGTGAAAGCCTTTCAATTCATTTATTTTCAAGTGAATTCGAAATCATCCAGCTATATAAAATAAATGTGAAAAGTACTTTAATGTAGATATAATTTAAGAGAAAACAATTGCTTTCTCCGCATAAAATACTTTTCTGCCCTTGTTCGTGTATGAAATTACGGACACTTCATGTGAGTGTATATGCTACATGCGAACCATAAAATTTACTAATTGGAAGAGAAAAAAAAACAGTAAAAACCTGAAAGAAAAAGAAATGAGCCAGCTACGCACATTTTATGGCGAATATCGTGTGCCTTTAACCTCAAATATATATGGAAATGTTATACAAATTTTTTTTTAATTACATGATTGCATCGAATATACACAAACAATATTTGTTCAAACTCAATGTTTCTAAAAGCATACAAATCGCTAAAATTTTATTTGACGAATCCTTTCATATCTTTACAAGGTCATTCAAGTTTTTCCGCTGTTGCGCGATTGCGCGACTATTAAGGAGTCGTACATACTTAAATTTAATCTACCAAATTAAATCAAGGACGAGGTTGTTAAGTTTCACTTTCTATTCCGTATTTCTTAGAATCTAGAAATAAAAACAACGATAGTTTTAACGGGAAAATATCCCCGAACATGGCTAAAATTGATTTTATTTCAAGAGTTGAGCGATTGAAGCGTTTTTAAACTTCTTATTGAGTGCCGAAAGGCAGGTGACTTCATAACATAAAACAGTTTTTGAAATGTGTCGATAACATGGTGACAAAATTATTGAATGCATAACTTGAACGTGCACAGCGTGGAACGATACTAAAATCATTTCTTGATTCATATATACTTTTTTAGCTGATTTCACATAAATTTCATTCTCTCACTCAAACGCAAAAGTAAACTATATATAAAATGAATTCTTCTAAACGTTAACGGCAAGAAAGAATTTCTATTTGACAACTATAGCTTTTTTTTTGACTAACCACTACGTATATGAATACTGGAGATATAAGAGTACAAGGAACTTAAACGATCAGAGAATCATACATATTGTTACGAAAATTCCAAATCCAGTTAATTCCAACTAACTAATTTTCCCAAATAATAAATTCCCTTAAAAAGGAAAAACCAAATGCGCATTCGCAGGCGCTTCATGCAGCTGCAGGCCGATGAAAACGATTAGCGGAAAAGCAGACGGGGATTAAATCTAAAAACTATCAATTTGGGTATAATAACATGCTTGTAAAAATGTATATGGATCGAATTTTGGTAGAAGGGAGAGTTAGTCGGCCAGGAACATTTGATTTGAGAGCTCGGCCAAAAATAAACTGTGAATTATCCTAAATTTAACGAACATAATGGTAAATAAATAATCCTACTGTTAAGGAATATAATTGTAAATAAAAGAACTTTGAAGTGTATTTCTCTGAAACAAAACCTCCACGATCCAGTGATACGGACTGTATCTTAGAAAAGCGAATTTTATAACAATATATTGGATCATCGTATGTGTACCAAATGGTACTTTTTAGAATTCAGCAGCACCTTATTGCGAATTATTTCCACTAATTTATATTGTTTGATACTGTTTATGTAAACTTTTTGTTCACTTTGATTTCGCGTTTTTTTTCGTTTCTTGCTTATTTTTTTTCATTGTTTTCATTTTTTTATAATTTTAACTTTTTTTTATCTTTTTATTTCATTTAACTTTTTTTAGCTTTTTTTTTTTTTGCTTATTTAATTTTTTAATTTTTCTTCTTATTTATTTTTTTTCTTTTGTTCTTTGTTTTTATTTTCATCTTACTATTTCCTTTTCTTTTAGTTTTAATTGTTATTGGTTTCCTGATTGCACTCTGTTCATTTTTTGTCAATTCCGCGCCGACCCATAGTAATTACTGCGGTCGAGTTGTGTCGAGAAAACTTTCAAACTAGAAAGCATCTTGTGGACAAAATATCTAAAGCGTAAACCTGAAGTCGGAGACATAGTCAAATTACTAGTCCATACAAAAAAATATATTCCTAAGGCAACTTTATACAAATAGCAAATATTTGGTAGATAGGTCGCTTTAGTAAAAAATGTGACCAAAGACATTTTCAGTAGCAAGTAGGGCTCTCTTCCTCGCTTTATAAAAGATTATTTGTTACGTTTACAATTGATATTGAGCGTGTGAATAAGGTCTTGCCGATTTTTTACTAAAATTCAAAGTTTATTTGGAAACGACATGAACTATTTTATGTAAAATATTATCCATTGTCACACATCTGCACTCCTAAACTTCTCTAATTTCTTGAGCAGAGTACGAACTCTCACACTCTACCTGCACGTAAGATTACCCATTTTTGGTCATCTTCATAAGCTCGGATAAATAATAAATCACGGATTCCGGCCAATATTGATTATAAGCACCAACTAAAGTGAAATCGCGTTCGGCGCTGCCAACAGTTTGTGGACTACTTTTGCAATACAGTTCCAAACGTCACCATTTTGAAACGTGGTATATTTTTTTCACATATCGCGGGAGTTTTTTTTAAATTGTCAGCGCTGATGCATTACAGTTACTCTGTAAAAGGTTCGCTGGATGTGAACACTATGCACGCTACACCTAGCTGATCCCTTCCAACGAAAGAACCTTATATTTTCGCTTTTACTTTCGATACTGATAGACCACCGGACATGCATCATCTTTTTTTACGAAGAAGCAGCGATTTCTTTCGAACTAAACAGAAAAGGGAACACTTCCCGCAAATCGAATTCTAGGCAGACACCTGACTATATTTAAACCTTATGAAAAATGTGTTGCTTACACTTCAGTGAGACAGCATGTACGGTATGCATAAGTCACGAAACACAATTCTATTTAGTGTTCTATGGTATTGGCTACATTTTTTCTTGGAAAACAGTAAAAGGTTTTTTTAAGTCCTTAGGAAAAATTCGGAATGTGCTAAGGTCGCTAAGGTCGAAACATTCGAGCGGAAAGTACTGATCTCATGTCGAGGTTTTGAACTTTGAATAAGCAAGAATAAATTTCACTGTGAATTTATGCATTTTGGCTACGAATTCGCGGATGAACTCAGTGAATTATTTACTAGTAAGTGAGAACTCAGTGAGAATGAAAAACAAAAAACAATTAGTTTAGCTATATGCGGCACTTAGTTATAATTCATGGACCTCTTCACTTACAAGTCAGGACAGCAATAAGAATTTGCCATAAAATTAAAAATAAGTTGAACGTTTTTGCTTAAATTTAAATTTCTCTTTTTGAAATTTTCTGGCAATTTTTATATAAACACAATTATTGTTATTATCAAACAATTACAAGCAGCGAGAATGGAGAGGTTATCAATACGCGAATTTGAAATAACAACAAACCTGTAAACTTATTTGCTTTTGAAGCTTATTTACAAGTTAATTATCCAACAATAACAAACGCAGTAACAACACCATACTTATTCATCCCGCGCAAACGAAAAAAACTCCATTGTTTCAACAATAGTTCCCTTACTATGCACTCTCTAAACCGCTTTTCACTTTTATATTTGCATTTACGTAAAGGATACCAAACTTACGATAGTACAACTGTGATTGCAAGCACGCATACATACAAAACAAAATGAATATGCATACGCTGTACTGTTACTGAAGATATTTGAGATTTTTTTTTATATAAAAAGAAAATTTACTTTTTTTCACAAATAACGACGAGCGATCGTTTCATATCGAATTGCGTTCAAATTTTACTTATATACTAATTTATTTTTTTTTTTTCGTTTTTCTTGCACGCATCGAAGCGCAACAATTTGCAAACAGCGAATGTTTACTTTACGCACACACACACGATAAAAAACAAGCTAAAACGTTTTTATTTTAGGTTTATGAAAACCCGTACGCACCGCCTCTCATAAGAAGTGATCTTTTAAAACTGAATAACAATAAACTTATTAAAACTTGAATGGAGCCGACTAAGCGTACATAGAAAATACATTTCAAAACTGTGTATGAGCCGAAAAGTCGTATGAATTTCACTTGGTTATAAAAATTAACGTTTGAGTTGCATATCATACATGTCGCGTAGACAACGCTGCCACTACTTGTGATTCTGTAGGTTACTCTCTTATTCAAACAATACGAACTTGTGGGAACTGGGCGGCGAACTTGTGGGATTTGTGGGAACTGGGCGGTCAACTTGTAGAATGCGTATCTAAACAAAAGCTGCAACTCGTTCTATGAAAATAAACAACAGCTTAGAAAAATTCTCCTCGCAACGTTTTTATTTTGTTTATGTTTCTAGGGCACGTGTTTCATCCTGTTGTGTGGGATTTTTTTACTAAAAATTCAGATTGAGATGCGAATTGATGCATATTTATTTATTCATTTTATCAATGAAATATAAAAATATATATAATTTGGCAAATTTTCTTATAAAACGTATCACATATTGTTTGCTATTTGTAAAGAATTTATTATTTTATATTTCCAAATATTAAGTTAATTGATTTTACATTTGAAATATATAAATATGCAAGTTACGAAAAAAGGAGAGTAACAAAATTTCCTCGTAGCAGAGAGAGTTGTACTTATATGCTTATGTACTTATATCACAATACAGAAGTGAAACCACCTCGATTCACAGTCATATGAGAGTAGTGTTATTATGCTATGAGATTTTTTCTGCCGGCATGTGTAACTAATACAAATACCTTAGCAAAACATTTTGATGAAGCACATAAGCACACAGCACGCTTGCACACACGCACGGATGCGACAAGCCATCTAGTTATAAACAAACAGTAGCAAATTTTCGTTTTGTTTGTGGTCATCAGAAAAAGCAGTTAAAGGAACCAAAGAACCAAAGAACGTTATCAAAAGCAACAGCAATAGCCAAAAGATGGTAGGCGGTTGGTGTTTTTTAGTGAAAATTTAAAGACTCTGAATTCCAACTGAATTTGGAAGCAGCTGAGAGTAATTAAAAGAGCAAGTCTGAAAACCAACAACCACCAAACATTTTATGCCCACAAATCCACATATACAAATATATGTATATATAGGTGCGTCTATCTTATTTAATCAGAATATTCACATGCATATACACACTTATACACATGCACACATAACAAATGCAAACACTTAGAAATGAGAAAATCGACATAATACACACCACGTTCGCTACATATAGTAAACGAAGAAAATCTATCTCTCTAGTTTGCTTAAATAAAGAAAAACAATTTCGAAGTTTTAAAAGATTAGTTTGAATTTGTTAGTATGCAAAAGTAGAATTGATTTTTAAAACAATAATACTTTAAAATTTAGTTTAGATTTGTCCTCTAGTACCAACAAAAACAAAGTCTCATATGCACAAAGATTATTTGGCGATAAGTTAAAAAAATTTCTAATACCTAACAGATCACGTGTGTTAGGACAAAAAGTCTCTGGAACCTTTTTTGGCAGAATTTATTTTTAAGTTCTACAGCTTTTCGTATCGATAACTCAATGAAAGAAAATTGAGTTTATGCTTGGTCGGCCGGCCTGTAAAGAAATGAAAATGCTTAAATAAAAATTTACTTCATATCACGCTGTAGTGCACGTAAAACCGAACAACAACTGAATTTTTTTGAGTATTGGAAGAATAAGCATCCACTTACTTGTTATGCGTTCTTCATTAAGAGTGGCCACTATTAAAGTGTGGAAAAAACCACTAAACGTATGAAAGTAAATTGTGCTTTATTTTGAAGTTTACACACTGAAGTTGCATTGTGAGTAAAATATCGTTCAAATATCCACCGCAGACTGGCCCATATTATAGCTCTAATTGCTAATCGCCGGGTCGAACGTCAGCTGCAAATGTTCCAAAGTTTGTGGCTTGTCGGCGTAGATTTGGACTTTCAAGTAGCCCCAAAGAAAAAAATCCGTGGTTGTTAAATCATAAACCTGCGGCGTCCAATTCACAAACCCCCTATTTTAAAATGATCTGGTCGCTAATCTTTGTCCGTCGGCTGTATGGAACATAACGCCATGCTTGTGGAATCGCATGTTTTCAATAGCTATCTCAAGCTCTGCTCGCAGGAATTGAGACAACATGGATCTGTAGCGTTTACCATTCATGCTAACGGACAGTGATTAACAACAGTAGAGTCATCAAGAATTTCAGTACGTTCAACGCCGTGATGGACATTTAAACGATATTTTGCTCAGAACGTAACTGCAACGTGTAATGCTATGTGTAAGCTTCAAAGTAAAACGCAACTAATACGTTAAATTTCTTTTTTTATAATTTAAAAAGCGTCACTCCTAATAGAAGATCCTTTACATATTTACGACCGACACTTACATGTCCGATCATTATTCCAAAATAGCCTTTATCATAAAATAGTGAAAATTAAACTGTATTGTCATAAATTTGCTTATTTTTTGTAAGAAAAATTGTATAAGGGAAGTTCAAAAAAATGATCCAATTCCAATCGCATTATTAATCTCATATGAAAATATGTGACGATTTCGCATTAATTGTTAAAATATTTTTAAAAAATTGATTTACACTTTAAACATGTTTTCAAGTTTTCTGCGATTCATACGACGTATGCAGGAAACTTTGAACTTTTGAAAATTTTCGTGAATATTTTCTTCTGACTTACTCTAATCGGACCATTCTAATTATTATTTTTTGATTTGGCGATTCTGAATCTTAATGCGCGATTAATTCCAGACTTCCGTTAAATCGCTTCACTTGAAAACACAGGTTTCAATAAGGCATACAAAAGCAATAATGATCAATTGTTACTTTTAGTGATCAATTTTGACTTTTTTTATACGCTGAAGACATGATTATTTGCGCATTTTTATATTAAATTATTGTTATGCCTGAACTCACGGAAGTCGTTTTTAGCGTACGCTCTGTACTATTCGCTTATTAATTTTACTCTCTTTCTCTATATGACTATACTGCCAAAGATAGTAGTGTATATTATTTATAAATAATAAGTTTAAGTCTAGAAATAATACACCAGCACACACGATTATTATTATTATTATTTTTATGAAACAGTAAAAAATTAGTACGCGTACACAATTTATCATCAATCATACTGCACATTCGTGATATCACCAGGCAGCAAATAAGTTTTTAAATATGTAACTGAAATGTATTTACATATACATGTACATATTAAATATAATTATATAAAGTTAAAGTCATATGATAATCAACATGTTATGTGCGATTTATTGTTATGTAACATTAAAATAAGAACCGAAAGTAAAGTTACTTTGGTTCAATAATTATGACCATAGCTATCAGCAAATATTGGTAAAGTCATAAAAAAGATTTATCAAAAACGGATGGTTTCATGAAACTTTTACAATTCCCAGTGGTATTCAAGGAGCAATTGCATGTTACGTTCATGATAATAGTGAATATCTAAATCATAATCACATGCCTGTTGCCTGTTGCCTGTCTGTCTGTTAATTTTGATAAGATTTTTTTAAACTGAATTTTCACAAATTGAATTTTGATAACGCTTTAAAAAGTTCATGTGACATTCTTTGACAAATTACTGCAATTATTGTTATTATTATTTGTTTAGATTTAAAAAATTAATTTTAAGACTATGGTAGAATGAGCACCAGCGACAAATACTTTCGGCTACACTTTTTAAGAAAGACAGAAATTACTTTCCACATAAGTATTTCGAATTTTACCTTGAAACTCAAAATCCTTATATTAAAAATTCATCTTTAGCATAGTACAAAGAGTGTCTTTGCTTTTTTATATCTAGCACCAAAGTGTAAACCAAATAGTAATTTTTTCACTTCGTTTGGAACAACGAGAAATATGCATATCAAATTGCATAGGCTGGAGAGCAAGGAACTGGGCTCTATCGACATTTTCTCCGCGAATATGAAACATCCTTCGGAAAAGTGAATTAAGGCTGCGGGTTGGAAATTGTGTGACGGATTCAGCTAGCAACGGAAACATATGCTGCTTAAATATAAACAAAAACTTTATAGATAACTTGCAATCGGTTCTGGCAGCTGAGAAAGATCCTTCCTGGAATTTTGCGTTGGCTGTGTTTACGACAAAATGGTGGTAACACAATATACATAGGTTGTTAGACAGGCGTAGCCTTTCCTAGACGCGAGACGTATTCCAGACTCGAGCCCTCGGTGTAGAAGTTCGGGAGTAGTGAAGGATTATGCGGCAGAAAAAGGAAATCGGGAAAAAAAATTTTTGTGGACAATACGATTTGAATTTGATTTAGTCTGATATTTTACAAAAGCACTGTCCGTAAAAACATTTTTAAGAGGTTTAGTAATACGTCTATAATTTAAAAAAAACTCGTTTAGTGACCATCCAAGATTCGTTCCAAGACGTGCCGTTATCTATTGCATTTTAGTTTAATTTCTTTGATTGATTTAAAACCGAAGTTCTTTATTCTCTGCTTATATCACTTCGGTGCATAAACATATTTAATAATAATAATCGATTTTTCTTTTCACACATAAGTATGCCGAACATGCAATTGAGTCATATGTACTCCCCATATTATTGTGACGAATTAAACATAGCTATATATGCATTTACAAACTTAGGTATACTTTTTCATATACTTTTACAAACACATGCACATATGCATGTTCATAGGCATGCATATATACGTACACATTTATATATATACATACGCATACATGTACATATCCATACACAAATACATATATTAACGAATATATAAGTCTATAATTATATATACATATATATATAAATAAGCATTTGATGGAAATAAAATCGTACAAGGTGTAGGCAGTAAATGAAACAATCGCGTGTTAAGTCATTAGGTCACCGGATGTGGCCCAGTCAAACAATAAACGCTTGAACCAACTACAAGTCGAAATCCTCTTTCCCGACCATATCAAACCAAAAAACAAACCAGCAAACTTGGCAAAACTCATTTAAGTTATTATT